ACCCTGCAACTTCCAAGCCCCTTACAAATATAAATCTATAGATTCAAGGAGATTAAAGAATTTGAGGAATACATCCAGACTCTCAGAGTGAAAAAAAGGAGTGCGCAGAAGGAAAATGGCATTTTTAACAAGTCAGTGAAGACTGTGTTTGTGTTCAGAACTCTTAAGTGCTGTTCAGAGACATGGGCTAGAGCTCATTTTGTCCATAAAGTTTACCCAGTATAGCTGCAGCTGTGAAAACCTACCAACGGCTGTACTGGTACAGACCAAGAGTCCACTTAGGCCACTATCTTGTCTCCATGCATGGCCACAAGTGGCTGCTTAAGAAAGAATAAGATCAGGGTAAGCATTTACAGCCCTCTGCCCTTTGCTCTCCATGTACGGAGAGCAAAGCCAAAGTTTTCAAGCCACTGACATAGAACAAAAGTATTGATCCTGACTGGTGACAGCCAGCTTGAAATCCAACACTTTTCTTGTAAAGCTACCTCCAGAAAATTTTATCTGGCATCTTACTGCTCAGTCACTTTGTCTCATTCAACCTCTCCTCTAGCCCAAGGACAGTCTGTCCATCTGTCTCCTCGTACCTTTAATAGTTTTGTTATGAACAACCATCAGATCTCAATTCATCCTCTTTCCCACATCGTTTCTCAATATGCTGCACAGCACAGCTCCCAGTCCAGACACCTGCAGAGCTCCCCTGCTGATTGTGAAGGTACATCAGCTACCATCAGCTCAGACTCATCGGACCATCATGTCCCAAACCTTTAACCAGCATTATATCCAAGCCAGGATCTTCACTCGCATCTCACCGCCACAGTTTCCCAAACAGCCTTTTCAAATCCCAAGTAGACTGTATCAGTCATGCTCCCTTCACCACATGCTTGCTGTAACACCTTCAGTAACCTCCTGAAGGGTTACTGGACAGGGCTTGGCTCTGCAGGAACTACAGGGATTATTTCCCAGCAGCTCACACTCATCCTAGTCTTTGCTAATGCAATCCTTCACTCTAACCTCAGTTTTGTGTCCTCTGAAGGATGTTTCTTGTTTCCTTTACCCTCCTGTTCATCTGCTCTGGCTTCAATCCACTTTTCTCAAGCCCATCCCTGTGTTATCTATGCAGTCACCTTGTATTACAGCACGCTGTCCCTCATTTGCTTCCATAGCAGGACTTCTTACCTTGGCCAACTCTCTTTTTCTAAACAAACCTCATTTTGAGGTCATTCCCCTTTCCAAAGCCAAGCACAGCAATGGAAGATGTGGGGGCTTTTGTGTCCTCATGGACGGATTCTCAGTGAATGGAAGGAAGCCCACTTACAGCACAGCTCTTCTAAAGGCAGTGAGATGTTGAAGCAGACCTGGCACACACGTTGGTATCAAACTGTCGGCCACCTTTCTTTTGTAGGATTCCTGCCCAGCTGGGGAAGATCTCAGTGTGATCTCTGCCTCACTCTGCAACATGCTTTTTATCAGGGACAACTGCAAACACCCGGTGCCACTGCAGTTCCTGCCCTCATCACCTCCTCAACTTGTGTTTTCACTTGGTGCCAGCCTCTAGGGTACGGTTCCAACTCAGTGCCCTACCCAATGATGTGAAATCCCCTAAAACACTACCGTGTGCTGCGCTGTCTGTAAAGTCAATTAGACTCACCAAAATAACAGTTATTAAAGAAAGGTACAAAGGCAATCTCTGGGCTTTATAGAATCATAGAATCATCAACCAGCCAGAGGAGGAATTACCTTGAAGAGGTGGAGGTTGAGGCAGCTACACGCAGCTCTGACAGCCATCAGCTTCCCACTGCCGCTTGGTCCTGAGAGGAGAACGCTGCCCACCCTGCTCAGCGTGGTTGCCCTGTAACACAGAGGCAGTTCTCCCAGTGACTGGGGAGCAGGGCCCCAGCTCTCCCGAGGCGTGAGGGAAGGGAATTTAACTCACTGACTGTTCAGGTGAGGCCGAAGTGCATCGCAGAGATCCTTCACAACGTCAGAGAGTCCAGCAGGAGACAAGCTGCTCCAGAACTCGTGACTGTTATAGGCTGGGGCAGATGGGACAGCACTGTTTGTTGAGCCCACCTGTGAGGAAAACAGAACAGCAGCTGAGAAAAGACAGCTACCAAGCGAGTCTGTCCTGAAAGTCTGTCCTTCTACAAGAGCAGGGGAAGCACAAGCTTCCACAGGCACATTTGGCATCCATAGAGCACCCTCAGGCTCAGTACACCCTCCCTGCCCTCCTCTAACATCTTACCAGATACAAAGAGGTGTTCTGCGTGTCCGCCAGGTAACCCTCAGACTGCTCGCCTTCCACCATGCCTAAAATCTTCCTCACTTTGAAATAAAGCTCTGGCCACCTAAAGGAAAAACAAGCAGTCAGAATCATGGAGTCAAGATCTGGAAGACAAAGCATCCATCAGCCAGGAGCCAACTGAGAGGCAAGGGTAGGCAGAGAGACTTTTGCTCCCTGTCTGTCTGTCTGTCTGGGCAGACCAAACGGACTGTCAACAGCTACAGCTTCCCCTGGTGGCTTCAGCCCACGGGTACTGCTGGACTAACTTCTAATTTTGCCTTCTTCTCAGAAAGAGCAGTCAGGCACTGGGACGGGTTGCCCAGGGAGGTGGTGGAGTCACCATCCCTGGGGTTGTTCAAGGAAAGGCTGGACCTGGTGCTTGGGGACATGGTTTAGTGGGTGACATGGGTGGCAGGGGGATGGTTGGACCAGATGATCTTGGAGGGCTTTTCCAACCTTAACGATTCAACAATAATCCAAGCAAAACATTTCCTTCTTCCCCCAAAATAAGAGGCAGAAAAACTGTCAGCTCCAGAGACAGGTAAGAACGGAATCTGCTGTCTTGTTTCAAGAGAATCAAGAGTGGAGAAGAACCTTTTCTCTTGAGTATCCACATGATAGCACCATAGTTTACTGCCACCTACCTAAGGAATTTGTCTGCATTTACATCTAAAAACTCAGCATGCCCAAACGTTGGAACACACAGGATGTCTCCCTCCTGGACAAGCCTACAAGAAACAACAACAAAACACAGTTTCAACACTGAAAAACTGTAAATTCTCCTTGCATGTCCTCCCCATACCACGTCTGTTTTTACAGAAAAGAATGTCACAATTTGTACCAATTCACTCCTTTCTTGCATTCTAAAACCAAAAATAACCACTTAAAGATTTGGCATGCATGGGATGAGAGTAGCTGCAACCAGACTACTAAGGGGGAGATACAGAAGATGAACACTGGCAAAGAGTGTCACTTCCCGACAAAGTCACCTTCTTGTGCCTGGCTAATTGCAACAGCAGAAAGCCTCATAACGAGGCTCCTGAAAAGGCTTGGGGGCAGGTTTCACAAGCAAAGACTACAGCACACCCAGCTTCCCAGTCACTGATCTTCACTCAAAGCTGTGAACTGGGGTTAGGGACATGCCCCAGAAGGGAAGTCTGCGGGCAGTCCTTGGGAGCCTTTGGTGTTGGATGATAAATTATAAGGAAAGAGATTTAAGGGTGACTTTTGAGGGACAGGACAAGAGATGCTGCTTGGAAGTGAACCTGTGTGAACTCATGGGGAGCAGATGGTGCAAATGGACATTTGGAAATACTCTCTGTAAGCATTCTGCAATTGGTTATGCATGTAATGAACACATATTGGATCTGGATGCCACAAACACGCAGTGAGGGTGCAGCTCACAAACAAAACCCCCCAGGAACAGAAACGTGTGGCTTTTCTGCGTGGCTCACCGGGGCGTTTCAAAGTGCTTGTAGAGAATACGGTCATAGACTCCTCTGGCACTGTAGGCTGGCGAGCAGACAATCTCTACGTGCAGTTCCTTGGCGAAGGGCGGCACGGACAGCAAGGACTGGCTTCCTTTCCCCTCTGCAGCACCAGCCTTTCCTTCGTACCTCTGTGGCAGGACAAGGGACACCATGAGCCACCCCCAGCTCCCTCCTCTGCTACCCCCAAGCCCACCACCCGCTCCCCGCAGCACTCACCTGCAGACAGAGGAGCCCACCACCGGCAGGATCACAGCCCAGGTTGAAGGCGAGGGCCGGCGCCAGCAGCGCGGTGCCATCGGGGGGCTTTCTGCGGGCAGCCCGCGGGTACTCCCATGCGGGCGGGCGAGCCAGCAGCGCCGCCAGGTGCTGCCGAGCCTCCCCCTCTGCTCGCACCCGCACCCACTCCCCGTGGAACAGCCCCAGGGCCAGCAGCCCTCTCCGGCTCACCCACACCTCCGCCCCTCCACCGGCGCCACCACCGGGGGGCGCAGCCTTTAGGCGCGGCCCCTCAGCAGCCCGGGGGCCGGCGGCGAAGCGGGACACGAGCGGCGGCGCCGCGGGGCGACGCCAGGAGGCGACACCACCCCCGGGCGGCGGCGGAGGGGCCGCGAGGGCGACGCGGGTGGCGCTGCCCAGCAGCCCCTGCAGCGCCGGCCGAGCCTCCAGCACCAGCGGCCCGGGCCCGGGGCCTGCTCCCGGCAAGGCCTCGCCCCTCCTCGCCAGCACCGCGCCCCCCGCCGGCCTCCCCCCCCCCCCCTCCTCCTCCTCCTCCTCCTCCTCCTCCTCCTCCTCCTCCTCCTCCTCCTCCACCCCCTCCCCCCGCCGCCGCCAGCAGCACCCAGGCGAGCGGCGGGGGGCGGCGCAGCGGCCACACGGCCACCCTGCGGCCCGCAGCCAGCCCCAGGCGGCGCAGCAGCGCCCCGCGGAGCCACAGCTCGGCCCCCCGGCGCCCCGCCGCCTCCAGCGCCACAGCGCTCAGCAGCACGGCCTGCGCCCCGCCGCGCCCCGCAGGCCGCACGGCCAGCACCAGCCCTCCTCCTCCGCCTCCTCCGCCTCCACCGCTGCTCCCAGCGCCCGCCCGGCCCCTTAGCGCCGCGCACAGCGGCTCCGGGGCCAGCAGCAGCGCCGTGACCGGAGCCAGCTCGGCCGGGGGAGCGTCCAGCGGCCGCAGCACCGCCACCGCCATGGGCGCCGCCACGACACCATAGAGACGAGGGGCGGGAGGGAGGGGGGGGGGGGGGGGTAGAGCGGCCGCGCCGCGCAGGCGCACAGGGGTCGGGAGGCCTCGGGGAATGGAGGGGAGGGGCAGAGCGGCTCGCCCCGGGTCATAGAGTGGCGGCTGGTACCATAGAGAGGGAGGCTCCTCGGTTAGGAATTCAGTCAAAGTTCGGAAATTCACCACAATAAACTCATCGCCTTCCCCCGCCCCTTCTCCCGCAGAGTCATCTGGGTTGGGCTGCCACCTGCACGATCACCCAGTCCAACCTCTGACCAGACACCACCAAGTCCTCCACCCACCCGTATCACTCATAGCGCTAACCGCTAACCATATAACCCATGGCACCAAGCTCCACATCTTAGACGTTTTTTGTTTTAAAAACCACAACGTCTTTTAAAAACCACCTCTGCACACTCAAACCGCAAAATTTCTTTTATTGGTGATGCCAAGAGGTAGCTACCATTTCATAGCACTAACTCCAGATATCATAAAAGTTTAATACTGCTTCTCTTGATTTCAATGGAAGAAAATTTAGGCTCTTTATTACTATTATTATTACCATTCTTAATATTACTAAACATTAATATTAATAAATTACTATTATTACTAATAATATAAAGTAATAATGGTTGGAGAGCTGCCAGGCAGAGAAGGACCTGGGAGTGATGGTGGACAGTCGGCTGAATATGAGCCAGCAGTGTGCTCAGGTGGCCAAGAAGGCCAACGGCATCCTGGCTTGTATCAGAAACACTGTGACCAGCAGGGCTAGGGAGGTGATCGTCCCCCTGTACTCGGCTCTGGTGAGGCCGCACCTCGAGTACTGTGTTCAGTTTTGGGCCCCTCGCTACAAGAAGGACATCGAGGTGCTTGAGCGGGTCCAAAGAAGGGCGACGAAGCTGGTGAGGGGCCTGGAGAGCAAGTCCTATGAGGAGCGGCTGAAGGAGCTGGGCTTGTTCAGCCTAGAGAAGAGGAGGCTCAGGGGTGACCTTATTGCTCTGTATAAGTACATTAAAGGAGGCTGTAGAGAGGTGGGGGTTGGCCTGTTCTCCCATGTGCCTGGTGACAGGACGAGGGGGAATGGGCTAAAGTTACGCCAGGGGAGTTTTAGGTTAGATGTTAGGAAGAACTTCTTTACTGAAAGGGTTGTTAGGCACTGGAACGGGCTGCCCAGGGAGGTGGTGGAGTCACCATCCCTGGAAGTCTTCAAAAGACGTTTAGATGTAGAGCTTAGGGATATGGTTTAGTGGGGACTGTTAGTGTTAGGTTAGAGGTTGGACTCGATGATCTTGAGGTCTCTTCCAACCTAGAAATTCTGTGTGTGATAATAATTAAACCCATTTATAAACAAATCAACTGCATGTAAAAAGTATGCAAATACTTGCTCTCCAGAAGTCTGACAATTACAGATTGTCACGGTAGTGGTACCTCCTATAATAGCTTTCTTTATTCTTTTTCTTTTAGGGAAGCAGGCAACAATCTTGTTCAGCTTCATCAATGAACCAGATCATAGGATAGAGTGCATCCTCAGCAAGTTTGCTGATGACACAAAACTGGGAGGAATGGCTGATACACCAGAAGGCTCTGTTGTCATTCAGAGGAGACTGGAAAGCTGGAGAGTTGGGCCGAGAGGAACGTCACAAAGTTCAACACAGGCAAATGCAGTGTCCTGCATCTAGGGAGGAGTGACCCCCTGCGCCAGTAGACATTGGGGACTGAGCTACTGGAAAGCAGCTCTGCGCAGAAGGACGTGGAAGTCCTGTTGAACACCAGATAAACCATGAGCAAGCAATGTGACCAAGAATGTGACTGTGTGCTCTAGGTGACCGTGCTTGGCAGAGGGGTGGGAGCAGATGATCTTCAAAAGTCCCTTCCAACCTCAGAAGCCATTCTGTGATGCTATGAACAGACTCTTAAGAAACTCCTAGCAGAATGTGGCTTGCGGTGCCTTGTTTCACAGTTTCAGCGCAGAACAGCTCCTAAAGCTTTGGCCTTGTAAAAAGTCAAATCATGTCAGGTCAGGGAGCTCCATCTGTTTTCGTTTTCATTTTAATTTTAGTTTTCATTTTGCAGCCTCCCAAGCAGAGGGGAGAGCTCTTCCACCGAACAAAAAAGCAAGAAGCCACGGAAGTGGTGAGTGGTAAGTGCTGAGTGCTCTCACCTCCTTGACAGTAGTGATGAGAGCAAGGAAGGAAATCAGAGAGACACCTTCTATTCCTCCTACCACCGGGCCTCCTTCCACACTGTGGACTCTTTCAGCTCACAGAAAACCACCACCGAAACAGCCATGTTGTGCCTCGCGCCAGCACAGGGGCTTTCCGTGATGTCACAGGGGCATCGGCCCTATAAAAACCCCTGCGCCTGGCCCAACACTCGCTGAGCTTCTAGGCCCTTTGTGCTCGTCAGCGATGGCTGGAAAGAAGAGGTCCTGGAGGAATTGCTGCCCACACTTGCGTGGGTCAGAGCGGTTCGTCGAACCCAAGAGGAAGTGGCGGCGGAGCAGTGCCAGCGGGAGCAGAGCGACCGTGGCTGCTGAGGTGGAGCCCATGGAGGTGGATCCAGCTCCAGAGGTTGAAGAGCTGATGGAGGTGGATCCACCTCCAGCCCTCGTGGTTTGGCACAGCGTCACCATGCCAGGGCTCCCACCTGCAAGACGTCACCACTGCAGGAGCGCCCGGAAAGCTCCATATCCCCGGCACAGCCTCCGCTGCCACCGTTACCTGGGAGAGGCCATCCGGGAAACAACTAGCAGGCTTGCCTGCGGGATGGCCTCCTTCCACATCCCTCATGCCCAATCCCCGCCTCTTGGGCAGTGGTGTCATCTCTTCGGCACAGAGTCCCAAGGAGTGGGCAAGAGTGGACTTGGCTTCCTTTGGTCTGCTGCAGTGGGGCGGCAGGAGGCCCCCTCACAAGCTGGCGCTGGGCCTTGGTGTCTCAGCCTGAGGACGAGAAGGCTGCCCAACGAGGAGGTGCTTGGAGACGAAGCCGTGCCCTCCGTGGCGGTGCACAGAGGAGAGCAGCGGCTCAGACCAAGCAGTGAGGCAGACAGCTGTTCCTCTGGAGAAGCACAAGTCCTCAGGTGTGCCAGGAAGAAGCGCCGGAGTGCAGCGCCGAGTCCATTCGGGATGCTTCATCAGCAGTTCTTCCCCAGACTGGGACTCCAAGAGCAATAGCAATAATAACAATAAAAAACCATCAGTAAAACAACTTTGGTTTCTGATTTGGTGGCATTTTTGTAATGGTGTCTGGGCTCCTGCGTCCCCTTGTGGTCTTCCCAGTACAGGAAAGGCACTGCTGTGTGTAGTGCGGGCCCAGCCCAGGGCATTTGTGGGGTTGAGGGGCCAGGGCACACGGCACACGAGGGCAGGCTGAGGGATCTCCTTTGGTCAGCATTAAGGAGACCAAGCTCACGGATGGGCCCAGCTGCTAACTACAGCTGCCTGCTGAGAGGGAGGTGAGGAGATGAAGCCTGCATCTTATACGTGCTGTGTAGCAGAAACATGAGTGGTACCAAGGCCCACACTTCCAGATGGAGACATCCCGGAGAAAAATAAGGAGAAGCTTCCCCACAAGGGTGCACAGCCAGTACAGGTGTCCAGAAAGGCCATGGAGTCTCTGTCCGGGGAGGGGGAGCTGTCCTTGACAGAACAAGGCCCAGTGTTAGAATTATATAAAGTTAGAATCATGAATTACAACAAAGACAAGTGAAGGGTCCTGCACGTAGGGAGGAATGACCCCCTGCACCGGTACAGGTTGGAGGCTGAGCTGCTGGAAAACAGCTCTATGCAGAAGGACCTGGGAGTCCTGGTGGACGGCACGTTACCCATGAGCCACCGATGTGGCCAAGAAAGCCAAAAAGGCCAGTGGCATCCCGGGTTGCATTTGCAAGTGTGTTGCCAGCTGGTCAAAGGATGTGTTCGTGCCCCTCTCCTTAACCCTGGTGAGGCCCCACGTGGAGTATTGTGTCCAGGTATTAGCCTCCTAAGGGGCCATGGAGCTACTGGAGGAAGCCCAGCAGAGGGCTCCAAAGATGATTAGGGCTCTGGAGCATCTGTCATGTGAGGAGAGGCTGAGAGAACTGGGCCTGTTTCTCTTGGGGAAGACAACACTGAGAGGGGATCTTATCAGGGTGTCTAAACATCTGCAGGGAGGGTGTCAAAAGAATGGGGCCTGGCTCTTTTCAGTGGTGCCCAGCAACAGGACAAGAGGCAACAGGCACAAACTGAAACCCAGAGGTGCCAGCTGAAGAGGAGAAAAGACTTTTTTACTGTGAGGGTGACAGAGCACTTGAACAGGTTGCCCAGAGAGCCTGTGGTGTCTCCTTCTCTGGAGATACTCAAAACCCGCCTGGATAGGTTTCCCACATTGGAAACCTGTGAGATGTGCTCTAGGTGACCGTGCTTGGCAGAGGGGTGGGAGCAGATGATCTTCAGAAGTCCCTTCCAACCTCAGAAGCCATTCTGTGATGCTATGAGCAGACTCTTAAGAAACTCCTAGCAGAATGTGGTTTGCGGTGCCTTGTTTCACAGTTTCAGCGCAGAACAGCTCCTAAAGCTTTGGCCTTGTAAAAGCATTGCTTTTTTATGTGGTTGGTTTGGTTTGGTTTTAAATGTGCTGACTCATTTGAGCAAGAAGTCTAAGAGTCGGCTTCCAGGTTCCACCTCCCCATAATGGAAGCAGCCTCTTCATGAGGTTTCCAGTTTCCACTGCCTCTTCCAAACATGTCAGGTCAGGGAGCTCCATCGGTTTTCATTTTCGTTTTAGTTTTCGTTTTCGTTTTGGAGCCTCCCAAGCAGAGGGGAGAGCTCTTCCACCAAACAAAGAAGCAAGAAGCCACGGAAGTGGTGAGTGGTAAGTGCTGAGTGCTCTCACCTCCTTGACACTAGTGGTGAGAGCAAGGGGGGAAATCAGAGAGACACCTTGTGGTCTCCCCAGTACAGGAAAGGCACTGCTGTGTGTAGTGCGGGCCCAGCCCAGGGCATTTGTGGGGTTGAGGGGCCAGGGCACACAGCACACGAGCGCAGGCTGAGGGATCCCCTTTGGTCAGCATTGAGGTGAGAAGGCTCACGGGTGGGCCTGGCTGCTGACCATCAGCCCCCAGCAGAGCAGGTTTCTCAATGCGAGTCCTATAGTAGCCAAACCCCATGTCAGTGGGGTTGGAACATGGTGATCTTTAAGGTCCCTTCTAACCCAAACCATCCTATGCCTCTGTGAACCATGCCTCAGGCCCGTAGTTCTCCCTGCGAACCACCACCCCTTGCAGCACAAAATGAGAGCCCAGTGAGAGGTGAAGAGCCAGGCCATCTGCACATGGGCAGGGCAGAAAAGAAAGAAAGAAAAAAAAAAAGAAAAAAAAAAAAGATTGCAGGCATCCAGTGCCAGCATGGCACAGCCCAAATAAAGGGTTTGCAGATGCTGCTCAGGCAGGATTAGGCCTGCAATGTGCTAAGTCTCGGCACTCACAGAGCCTAATTGTTGCTGCAGTAAGCCCTGGCTGGTCCTTTCCTGAACTGTGCCCCCCCACTCCATCATATGGGTATTTTTTTTTTTCCTGCAAAGCTTGTATTTACCATGCATATGTTCCTCCCACCCCCCCAGCAGGCCTGACTGAGTAGAGGGGGGGTTGAAGGCGGGATATTTGCAGATGATGGCTCTGCTCTTCCCAGCCAGCCGTCTCCCCCCGTACCCCCCAGGCCCCTGCACAGCACCAAGTCTGTGAGGAGCTGCCACCAGGCTCAGCGGCAGGGACAGGGACAGGTGACAGCATCATTACACAGCCACGCTCCCATTGAGCGGCATTAGGAAACTTTCCAAATTGGGATTACTCAGATTGTAATAAAGCCTTCTGATAATTTTCAGTTAGATTTTGGCCAGCAGATAAAGCTGGAGGTGTTCCAGGATAGCCGTCACAGTGCACACGCAGGCCAACTCAGCACGGCGGTGAGAGGAGGACCGGCTGAAGCCCAAATCTGAACAGCTGGATGGCCACAGCACCCTTGCACATGCCATCATGGCTGGGGATGCTCATGGGGCTGCCGGAGCTGTCCTGCTCCGTGTACTTGCTCGGGAGGCTGAGGTACACTACCAGTTTCTCCAGCACTGGTTCACCTAGCCCAAAATGAGCTCCTTGTGTTTAATCATGGGACATGAGGACACGAAGCCCAGCTCTGTACCCTCCAGGGCAGCAGGTGTTTCTGGATAAGCTCAGATCTTGGGTGAAAATCAATCGCCTTTGGGCATGTGGAGGCCGCTGAACTGGGCCTCAGCTCTGGAGAGACACACGAGGGCTTCACTCTGCTCCCCTGTGTGAGTACACAGCGCTCAAACCCTGTTTAGGCACGGGTCTGTCCAGGATCTTCTCTAAGCTAGCAACTACCACAACACCTGCCAAAGTAAAATAAAAGAAATCACGATGCAGAGCGTGAAAACCAAAGATACACCACAATTTTACTTACGGATGCGTAATAAATAAATGGACAAAACGGGGACAGCCACATTCCAAAATCCAGATCACTAAAGTGCTTTTGGACATAAATATAGGACAACCAAGAAACGCCTCTCACATTACACTATTTACAGATAATTACAAAATATTTTCTTATGTCAGTTCACAAAACTGTTTAATTGTTCCAGGGTACTATGGCTTGCTTTTCAAAAAAGGTCTGTTCTAGTATGCATAGCATGGCAGGTCACATTCAAGAGTGTACAAAATTGTTGCATAACAAAAACGTCTTTCCCCCCTTCTCCCAGACGTGAGTTAGGGAAGCTACACAGTGTAAATCCAGTGGTAAGGCTGCGTTGGCAGGCCGGATCCTCAGGAGGTATAAACTGGCAGGCCTGTCAGGTTACACCAGCTTGAGGAGGGACCCTACCATGTTTAAAAACCCCGCTGCTGGTTGAGGTGGGAGAATTGTGTGCTTGAAGCAGAGGGACTTGCCACACGGGTGCTGTGCAGGGGCGGCAGTGCTCAGAGGAGGCGTTTGTAAGCTCCTGCACCATCTCAAAGTTCAATGACTTCAGAAAAATATATATATATGTGTTAATAAATATTCTTATCTCCCCAGGAAGCTGTGAGGTCTGGCCTCCTGCGGGGCAGCCCAAGCTCAGTGGTCCTTGTCCTTCTGCTCCGTGGCAGGGTCCCCGTTGATGCACTGCCTCGGTATGCTCCTCTTCTCGTGCTTGGCTGTCCTGGAGAGGTCAATGGCTGTGTCCTCAGGGTTTTTCATGGGGCTAAGTTTGTCAGAGCTCCTCTGGGAACTGGCCTGCTTCCCTTGGAGTTCCTCCTCATCCGGCTCCGCTCGCCAGCCATCTGCCAGCTTCTCTTGGCTCTCTGCCTTCCTGCTCACCTCCATCGACTTTTTGTGCATGCCTGGCAAGGGGGAGAGAGCAAAGCCAAGGGTGCCGGTTGCTTATTCCTGCCCAGGACTGCTCAGCATCATCTCCCCAGCTGAGTGTGCTGCTCTGCCCTCCTGCTGCTTCCTTCTACTCTCACTTACATCCAAGGAAAACTCACGCTAGCTACCACCATGCCCAGACCCCAGGTCTTCCTGGAGCCTTCTTTTCTCCAAGCTGAACAACCCCAGCACCCTCAGCCTGTCTTCACAGTGCTCCAGCCCTCTGATCATCCTTGTGGTCCTCCTCTGGACCTGCTCCAGCAGCGCTCTGTCCTTCTTGGGAGCTCCCTTGGGGGCCCCTGGGTAGCTCTGACATTAACATTGTCTTCAGCAAGGGGAGTGATGACTTCCCAGACCCCCAGCCGCTCCCACAATGACTGTTCACAAAGTGAACCAACACACAGCTAAGTGACACAGTGGATAAAGGTTTTCCCTTCCCTGGCTGTTTGGTACAAGGAAGGAGTGAAAAACCCCAAACCTGCAGCTCCTGCCCCGCTCTGGCCTGATGCTTACCCAGCAGCCAGGGGGCACAGGACCCCACCAGCCCGCTCTTGGCGGAGTTGATGATGGACTCGGGCAGCGGGATGGAGTGCCGCACCATGGCGCCGTACAGCCCGTACTCGGCCATCACGCTGCTCCGGCCCCAGCACTTCTCCCTCTTCCGCCACTTGGCTCTTCGGTTCTGAAACCAAACCTTCAGGGGTAACAGCCAGGAGAGCACGGAGGGGGTGGGATGTGGGGAGGAGGTGGCCCCACAGGTGGGCGTTCGGGATAATCGGGCACGGGGGAGCGCATCCAGGGCAGGGGGGCAGCCGCGTGCGCGGGGTTCAGGGCACGGGGGAAGGCGGCCGGGGCAGAGCCACGGAGGAGGATTTGGGGAGGGCACATACGTGGGTGTCAGCGAGAGAGGAGAGGAAGGGGGGGAGAGGGAGCACACGTTACATGAGGCTGGCCCTGACCCGGGAAGGTGCCCCCAGCCCCAGTCACCAAGGGCAGCCCCTTGGTGTGCCCGCAGAGCCCCTGTGCTGGCTCTGCACGAAGCCACCGATGTCTCCCGAAGGGGTCCACATCGCACTGATGGGTGATGGCAGAGGGTGCTCAGGTCCCTCTCCCCACACCCTCCCTGTGTTTAAAGGCTCAGGAGGCGTCGATACAACCCGAGTGCTGTCCAAACTCCCACCCTGTCCTTAAGCTGCTCCACAAGGGGGCAGGATCAGGCCCTAAAATACCACCCCAAAGGCTACGAGAGCAAGCTGGGGAGAGCTTTGGCCCAGTGCATCACTCCTGCCTGAGTTGTGTCCCCAGAGGAAAGAGCTGAAGAGCTGGCAATGAACAGCAGCTGCCTGGGCCAGCGCTGTGTCCCCCCATCCCTGCATGTCCACTTGGGTGGGAAGCCGAGGAGCCACCCCAGAGGTTTCAGCACCACCACCTTCCCTTCACCTCCACCCACTCGCCCTACAGCAGGTGCCGCGCAGCCCTACCTGTATCCTGTCCTCCGGCAGCTCCGTCTTCACCGCCAGCATCTCCCTGGCGTAGACGTCGGGGTAGTGAGCTTCGTTGAAAGCCTTTTCCAGCTCCTCCAGCTGGTGGGCTGTGAACACCGTCCTGCGGAGAGGAGCCAGCGTCCTGGGACAGGCTCCAGACCCTCCCGAAAACATCACCCCCTCCCCGCTGGGGTTGAAATCCTCCCCCTGCTGCTGCTTCAGCTCTTGTAGATCCCCTTCTCCTTGCTTTTTTGGGGCCACCCGCCCCTCCTAAGGGACCTGGGGGAGAGCAGTGGGGTGTGCGGAGCTCAGCCCAGCCCTCGAGCCCTACCTGTGCCGCCTCTTCTTCCTCTTGATCTGCGAGGCCGGCATCTTCAGGTCGCTGGCATCCCCGGACAGGCTGTCCTCATCTGGTGGCAGCACGGGGACAGGGGGGACACGGTCACATCCAGACCCTTCCCATCCAGACCCTTCCCTGGCCCCACGATGAGCGGCTCCCTCCCAGTGCCACCCAAGGGTGCCCCTTCCCCTCCTCCCCTGTGCCCAGAGAGGGACAGTGGGTGGGACACGGCCACCCCGGACGGGTGTCACAGCCCTGGGGACAGCAGCTCACCGGACACGCTCTCCTTGTGGCGACGGGGGGCTGGAGGTGGCCCGGGGGGACCCGGTCGGGGTCCTCGAGCCGGGAGCAGCGGCAGGGGGGCGGGCAGCAAGCAGGGGGCTCCCGGCCCGGCCAAGCCACACAGCAACCCCAACCCCAAACCCAGCGCCCCGCCGCCCTCGTAGCCTCCTGCGGGCCCGGGGGCGGCCCCGGGGGGCGGCTGCAGCTCGGCCTCCAGCCCCAGCAGGTCGGTGATGGCGAAACCCTTGGCCCGAAGCCCCCCTTGGCTCGGCCGCGCCGCCCGCTCGGGGAGGGCGCTGCGCATCGCCGCCGGGCTCGGGGCCGCCGCCACCGGGACCGCAACGGGAACCGGCACCGCCGCCACCGCCCGGCCCCCCGACGGCTCCCCCCGGCCCGGCATCGCCGCCTCCTCCCGGCCCGGCCCCGCAGCGGGCACCGCCGCCCGACGCCGCTTTTATGGGGCCGCCGCCGGGTCCGGCCCCGGGCACACCCCGGGGCGGCGGGGGGGCGATCCCGAGGCACGGATTAGCGGCCACCGGGCCCCGAGCCCCTCCCTCGGGTCCCCCCCAGGTCCCTCCCCTCGGGTCCCCCTCTCCGGACCCTCCCCTTGGTCCTCCCCATCCCTTCCAGCCCGGTGCTCTCCATCCCATCCCCTCCCGGTCCTCCCCATCCCTTCCCTCCCGCTCCTCTCCATCCCATCCCCTCCTCTCCCTCCCGTTTCCCCGCCCCGACACCCTTCGGGTCCCCTCGGTGCTGTCCCCACGTCCCCTCTCCTCGTCCCTCCAGCCCCACATCCTGGACGGGGCGTCCCGCCCGGCTGCTGTCCCCCCCTCACACTGTCCCCCCTGGGTGTCCCCTCTCAGCCCGGGGCCATTTCGAGGTGCCTGGCCTCCCGGCTCCTTTTGGCTCCCAGCTCCTTGCACCTGAGCTGCAATTTCTTTCTTTGCTTTCCCCCCCCTTTCCCTCCCCTTCATCTGTTTATGGAAACGATTTACAACCGGCTTACACGGGCGGCCTGATCCAGGCCTTCCCGCTGGACGGCCAGATTAACCGAGGGTCCTTCTGATAAAGATAATTACAAGGGGACTCCGCATTAACTTTGCATTATTAAAGAAAGACCCAAATCTCCCCTCGCAAGCTGTTCCTGGGATTAGCAGAACAATAACTTTCATTTAGGATAATTGCCGTGGCCGGCGCTGGGGGCTGGCGGGGGGGGTGCCTTCGGGTGATCGCGCTTCACACCACCAACGGGAGGTGGGAAAAGGGGGACATCGCTTCCCCGAAGCCACCAAGGTCCCCATGGGCTGGGCGTGCAGGGATGCTCGGGGTGTGCCCACCCAGGGCTGCCCCCCACCCGCTTGAGGATGGGTCACCCAAAGTCCCCTCGGGCACCTTCACTTCTCCAGAGTGTTTTTGCTGCAGGTTTGCTGGAAGCGGAGACTTTCACTGCTAGGCAGGGAGGATCTGCCACAGTAATTAGAAGCCCTAATCCGGCCACCACCCACAAACAAATTTCCTGTCCGAGCAGATATTAGTGGATAAAACCCTAATTTTTGACGTTGTCCCAGAATCAGCTTGATTTCAGCAGTTTACGTTAAGGCTGAGCTGTTGGGAGAGATGATGAAGCCTTAAATATGCATATGGCCTAGTCATTTGGAAAGTTTGGGGATAAAGCACGTATAATTGCTCCTAATCAGTTTATGAAACATAAAAGCTCAAACCCAAGAGAAAGCCGATAGATGCAGAAATGGAAATAGCGATTAAATCTCCCCATGCCGGCGAGGTGGCCTGGATACGGCCGCGGGGCACCAGGGATGCGCCCGCTCTGGGCACATGGCTCCAGGACAGGGCAGGGGGGGACACGGATGGTGGCAGGTCCCCTGGCCATGGTGGCGAGGGGCATCTCCGAGGGGCATCTCCACCGGTCCTGTGGACAATAAATCAGTTAAAGGATATCTTGATATACGCTCATCAGATAGGATTATCTGGGATTAGACTAATCAGTAAATGTTTCTCTGCTCATTATTTTCCAGGGAAGATTTTCAGCTGATTCTCCGACGCCGAAAGATTATTAATCGCTTAAAGAGCAGAACATCAAACATCGCTCTTGCTCTAATTTCCCTGCGGTTCCTCCCCCCGCAGCGGGCAGGGCGCATGTGCCAACCAGACTGGGAGCCCAAGGGTGCCCCAGCACCCAGGACCCACACCCTAAAGCACTTTGGGATGGCACCAGAAGGGCACCGGTGGGATGGGTGCCCAGGGCTGACCCCTCCAGACCCCGGGGTGAGCCTTGCCAAGTCCTTGCGGGATTACAGTATGCGCTAAGTGAGTCCCAAGCCAGCAGCCAGCGGGGTTTAGGGGCACCTGTCTTCGCAGGAATGTGAAGGGAAACCTCAGAAGGATGCCCACTGACCACAGATCCACCTTCTGTAGCGATGAGGAAGGGGAATCAAGGAGGAGGCACTGAAGGAACTGGTTTAGGGGATTAGTAATGGGATAAGGCAGCTTTCACCTCCCTGGTTTAGATATGAATCAGGTCAATAATAAAGGAGAGTCTGCACCATCTGACAGTTTGTGGCTGCTTGGGGTGGAAGAGCCTCCTGTGCTCCATGGGCAGGGAGCGCACAGCCACCATCGGACCTGGGCTGGCAGCCTCGACCAGGCGGTCCCTGCTGGCTCCATGCCGTGCACCTCACATCCATCTCTTGCCCCAGTAAACGGGATGGGAACACCAGCAATTTGGCAAGGGGGAGATTCTGGGGAGAGGTTTCTGCCTCAGCAAGCTCAGACAGAAGGAAAAGGGCTTTTCTTCCACCTCCTCCACCTCCTGCTGGGAAAGAGATGGCCAAATAGTCTCCATTTTGGGGTGATGGATCTGTGGGGGCAGGTGGCACAGCCAGGTTAAACAAAGGGCGATATCTGTGCTCACAGCGCTGCTGTGCTGCAGGGAATGGATCCTTTCTGCCCCGCGTTGATGTTGGTGAAAAGCAGCATTTGAGGGATGCAGGAGCCACATCTGGCTGTGCACTCCGCCTGCTGTGCCGGAGTGCAGCAAGCTGGGCTTAGGGCGAGCGCCTCGGCAGCCCTAATTTGGCACTGGAGGGGGTCCCTTTCCACGTCCCAGAGACATCCCTATTAATTCCTCCGCACAGCTTTCTGTCTTAAGACATTTGCCTTTGATTAAAAACCAGAAGAGCAGTCACGGTTTAAGTAGAGTTTAAGAGCAAACCATGTGCTGGGGAACGGGGCTCTCACATCTGGAGTGCCGCAGATTTAATCAAACTGCTGGGAAGTGCCACGCGCAGACAGCTGTCACAGCAGCCTGGAGACGATCCCCTAATTAATTCCTGGCCAAACACAGGGCAAACAAATGACCATCCAGGTGGTACACCTACAACTGCGTGATCAGAAAGCAGCAAGCAAGCAGAGTTGGGGATGCTCTCCCTTGGTGGTACCCGTGCCCACTGCACTTGTTTCCGCAACCTTCGGAGCAGCGTCCTACAAAACATGAGTTATGGCAAACAGGGCAGGTCCGGGTGCTCCTTGGTGCTCCGTCACGGTTCGTTAAAGATAATTGAAGTGGCTGCCAGAGCTGGGTCTGTGTGGGCGCTTGGGAGTCCTGGGCACACGGCAGGGCTGGACTGGGAATATCCGACCGCGAGGAGCCCCAAACTAGCCGATGGACTGTCCTCTCCAATTAGCCCCACAAAGGAGCTCTTATTCCTCCACACTGTGCTTGTCCAATTACTTTATCTTATTATTTTTTTCCTCCAAACCATTCCTCCAAAATGTGCTAATTAAACAGAAATCATCAAGTCAATTAGAGAAACACTCATTAAAGCAGAAAAGAAAAGAAAAATATAAGCAGAAGAGAAGCGGCTGCAAAGCTCCCAAGCACGCACAATAGCTGCCACATTCATTACATCAGCATCTCCCCAAAGAGGGGTATACATTGTCCGACTCTGGTTCAGGCCCTGGAAATGAAACTTCCCAAGCAATGGAGTCAGATTTCTTTTTGTTTTAATGGAAAAAAAGCTGAGAATTACACCACCTTTTTAGGTTTCTTTTATATTTGAGGGAGCAGAGAAAAGTTTGGTCCCATGAAGGTCTCAGGTCAAGGACAATGAAACTCACTGGAAGGGCTTTACTGACCTTAGTGAATCTTGAACTGAACCTAGATTGTTAACATCTTTCTTGTCTGGAAGATTTTCAGCCAATTTCTTCATTCAGAAAGTTAGCTTTCAATGGGAAATCTGCTCTGTGCTCCACATGAAACCATGCAGGAGGGACCTGTCTGTGGCCATTCAGGGCAGTGGCAGAGGTGGAGGCCAGATCCTGCTGGACCCTAGTGCAGGCATCTCATCCAGGTGCCACAGGCGTTCCTGCTGCTCATCATGGGGATGGTTTTAAACTGAAATAGAGCAGGTTTAGATTAAATATTAGGAGAAAATTGGAAAAACTGGGTTGGTTTGGAGGACACTGGTCCCAGGAGGCGGGGGAGTGATGGAGAAGTGCCTGGGGGCTGGCTGGAAGAGGTCCTGGTGAGAACCGGCTGCTCTGCTGCTGCCTTGAAGGTTGCTTTTCCCTCTTCTCCACCTCCCAGCCTCCTTTCTCCCCCAGCCACCTCAATCCACCCAGCGACCAAGGCACCCGCTCTTTCCATGAGTGCCATACTGAAATCCAGCCAAGCACGTGAAAGGGTGATTCCACTGTTTCTAATGTCTCTCTTGGGGGCAGGGAAAGGCAGATTTCACTTTATTCTGCCACAATATGTTGGGGAGCCCAGCTCAGATCTGGGTGAAGGTGTCACCCAGTCCCTTGCGTTTCCAAACCAGTTCAGCCATGCCTAATTGTAGGCGCTGCGCTATGAGACCTGACAGGGTTCCTTCTCCTTTAATTAAGCTCCAAGTTTGCTATCTGAGTGCCGTGCCATATGGTATTGATTTTTCGGCTCCGTGTGACAGCACTTGCCATGAAAGCAGCTAACCTAATTAAAGACGGGGACACCGCGCACGCAGGCGGCTACTCTCACTCTTCCCTTTAATGCCGTGTCCTGGAGCCGCTCTCCTGGGTGCAAACAGGTGCCAAAACGTGGGACCTGGCTGGGCTCCGAGGACAAAATCCTCCAGCCATCACCACCCAACGTCCTGGTGCTTGAAGATGAATCCAAAGGCTGAGAGGCATTACACAAGCAGCACGGGCCTTTACCAAAATAACTCTGTCCCGAAGAAACCATCTGGAGGACCTATAGGAGTAACAGAAAAATAACATCAATGAATCCCCAACTATGGATCCTCCTTCTCATATGAGTAGACGTCTATGGGCTTCTTCAGCATGCAGCTGTAAAATGAGCACCAAGCAAAGCACAGCCATTATTTTGTGTGTGTGCACTTTGTTTTC